CTCTGTACCTTTAGGTAGCTACTCCACTTTTGAAATTTCAGCTAGAAGGCACACCGATGAACCGGAGGCATCGGGGTTGTGGCAAGCAGCGGCAAAATACCGGCGCAACACGTGTTTGGTTTTAACTAGTACTTATGCAGCCAGTATGGTGAATAATTACACAGGTCTATTGTATTATCATGCGGCACTATCTCCGGATGCTTAACTTGCTTCATGGGGCACGCATTTAAACGAGCTCCCTCTCGGCCGTCTGTAAAAAGTACACCCTGTAAAGACCCAACTTAACTGGAACGACTTTTTTCACTTCATTCTTAGAAATTCAAATATATTTTCTAGAAAATGTGCACAAGAATATCCTCAATTGAACTTATTTGGTGGCAAATTACATTTTAATAGTAGGTATATTTCGTTTTAAAAGGTTTCTCTGCGTTTTTAAAGATTCTGGTATGTTCATTTATAAAGCATCGTATCTGTTCATTTGCCGATACTACTTGTAAAGTATACGGCATGATTCATATCCATTGCAAGCATCTTTTTCATAGTCTCTCAGATTGTACGACTTGCCCTACACCGGAGATGCAAAATTTGCGCTTCGGAAACTCCGACTTCGGAAATTGATGATATTTTCTTTGAACCAGAAAAATACCCTTTTTAAAGTAAAAAAAATTGGGCGAAAGACGTAATTGGCCGCCAAAAGGGTGCGAGAAGGGATACTCCTGTGTATTAATATGCGAATATATGCGAGGTCCAGTTATAATATTGCTTTCATCATCCCCGGAAGAAAAAGAAGACGGGGCAATTTCTGAGACCAAGTTGTATTTATACTGAGGTTTCAATAGCATTCTCGCTTCCATCGTCAGAGCGTAGTGACTGTTCTCCTGCCGGATGTCGAGTGTGTTTAACCGCTAGCCGTGCCTGATGCCCGCGTATCGGTCGATTGTACCGATCGATAGCTAGTGGCTATTTGAATTGTTCGCGCTCTCGCGGGCGCCTCCATGAGGTGTGTCAACTCGCTCGTTTGCCTTCTGTGTTTGTTTTCTATGAATACATTTGAACGTTACTTAAAATCGATAGCAAAAATGCATACAGGTTAGGCATTCAGTTTGCTTACATAATTGAGTTTTTTCCGGCAATCGGATACAGTTCATTCAAGAATCAGCATTCTGATCTGACTAAAGTAGGTTGTATTATGCTGCGCGATAAATGATCTAACAGCAGCAACAAGAACCTTCACGCCTCCTGAGATAGCACCTGTACACTATGTTTTTTTTCATCCAGTGACCACATAAAGCCGTATTGCTTAGTGTTCTTGTAAAGAATCGCTGACAGAACCGGCCGAAGGAGTTATTTCCTATCTCACCTAAATGTTTTGGCCTTACCTGCAGGACCTATCTGTGCAGTATGATGGCACGGTTCGTGACTCTGGCGGTGGGATAATTCAATTTCGTTATGGCGATGACGGCCTGGACGTTTGTCAGTCCTCTTTCCTCAAGGCAAACGGCATCCACTTCTTCGCGGATAACGCAGAGCTGCTATCTGAGCGCTGGAAATGTCCCGACGACCCGGATCTGTACAAACGCATGCTCGAGGCCAACCCACTGGCCCCGTCGCTTGCTCATGAAGTAGACGAGGTTGCTGTTAAGAGAATGGGCGTAAGTTGTTTTCGGTAGTAGGTCTCTTCTTGGACGGTGATAGTTCACCACACTTACCTAATTTCTGGTGCAAAGATCGCACCTCTCATCAAAGGTAGCGATGGTAATCCATATTTCAGGAGGAAAGACCAATCTCCACTCAAGGTCGTGGACCCTTTGGATCGCGAACTTTACAAACATTAACAAATGTACCTTAATACCATTGCGACCTGGAGGATTGAGGATACTGTCAAATTTGTGCTACCACTAGAAATAGCAGCTAGCATAGGGTGCAGCTGAGTGATATGTTCGCTGCTACTATTTCAGTCTATATTGTAAATCAGAAGTGGCGCTGGTTAAAATCAGCACAGGGTTCATATCCCCTCAATCTCAACAAGATGTGTATTACTACTGGTGCTAGCACTGATGCCACCATTTGTCAGCGTTGTCGTTGACTAAGCCTTTGGGAGTTTTAGGGAGTGGGATTCAAACGTTTCCTCAAAGGCATTGCCAACTGTCTCTGCTATTTGCTGCAAGAGGCTCGTGCATCGCCCCCGTCAACTGGTTTATTGAGCTGCAGGGTCAATGAGCGTGCTGTTCATTTGGACAGGCTTTATGACTTGGTTGCAGCATATTTTTGTTTCAAAACTCGTCTAAGGAGTAGGCATTCCCCTCATTGTAATGGAAATACTTGGTAAGGTTGCGAGATGCAGTTTTATGTCAGTTAAATAGTAGGGGTTAGTTATATGACCCTCTAGGCAGAACACGGGAAGGGGAGCGCTCCGTTCTAAAGGCGGCCCTCCGCATAATTCCAGAAAGATTAATTATTTCCGTGCCCTTATCCCAACCTATTGCGATCTGCGCCTGGTACTTCTAATTAGCACGAACTCTGAGATAGCCCGGTTGTTGTCCCGAACGCTAGCACGAGAGAACAAGAGAAGTCAATCGGCCAAGAGGAGAAGTGTATTCACACGGTACAAGTAAAGTAAGTCATTCTTACAAAAAAGATGCGGGGTATTTATTCGGCCGCGTGATGATAAGTCGTAAACGTCAGGGGGACCAATCGGCTATAGCGAAACATCGATAGCCACGACGCGCGCTCTCATGACAGCGGTGAGGAGTTGCACTCAGGGGCCTTCCTGTAAGGTGCGTAATCGTGGGAATGGGCGCATTCCCAGCACAAAATTAGTTTTCACATAAACCTGAACCATAGCCCCACTCTTAGCCTCAACTTTACCCTGATCCCTAAACCTACACCTCACACAAAGCTTAACTTGAAGAATAACTTAACTCAACCTCAACGCAAACCAAAATCCTAACCCTATTTTCTCTGGAATTTAGAGTCAGCAGACCGGTATTGCGGGCGCTTCCTATTCTCATGTCCTGTTGGGGGGCCATATAAACCACTCTGCCTAAAGGTAGTCTAGCTTACGCCTTTATCCGGTTTCACGTGCTGGTTTGAAGGGATACTTCATCTAAACTTGTGTAAAGATGGAAGTAACTCAGCCAGTCTTCCAAAGCATAGGCTAGATTAGGGGACAAGGTAATAGTTATTTGGAGAGTTTCGCAAAGGACACTTACTGGCGTCATTCTTGATCCCGCTTCCAGCCAACTTTTGTTGATCGGTACGCACCGAATGGAACGCGACTCTGTAACAGAGGCGTTATTTTCAAACAACAGTATAACTCCGTTT